GACACAGGTGAGTGAAAAACTTGAGTGCGAGTTCCACAATTTATGCAGAGAACAGTATTTACAACATAGATAAACAAAACTATAGATAGGATAGAAGAATAGATAAAACCAATTTAACTAAAATATATACATATAATCTTACACAATAACTTAAAAATAATAATATTGCACCGAGACATATAATATTGCACTGGGAATGTAGAGTGAGTGTAATCAACTATATACTATATATAGTAATGGATATTACAATGCTATGTAGATGTGCAAATAATCACACTAGGTGTGGAGGTAGAAGATGGTACAGTAGGTGGCAGAGTATTTAGTAAAGTGCAAGGTACAGGAAGTTAAGTGGAAGCGCAGGGGGAGAGTATTGTCTTTGGATAGGTATTCAAAGTCCAGCTATGCAAGTAAAGTGCGGGAGTACAGTGGGTGCACGTACGTGTAATGGGAAGGGTTGGGCTGGGCAGAGCAGTGATTACTGGCTGTTCAATAGCCTGGTTGCATGGGGGAAGAAGCTGTCTTTGAGCCGACTGGTTCTGGCTTTTAAGCTTCTGAGCCTCCTACCACTCGGCAGCTGAGAGAACAGACAGTGACTAGGATGGGAGGGGTCCTTCATAATCCTTCTGGATTTCCTCAGGCAGCGACTGGTGTATAAATCCAATAGGTTAGGGAGCTGAACCCCGGTGATGGACTGTGCTGTCCGCACCACCCTCTGCAGAGATTTCCTCTCACGAACAGTACAGTTCCCGTACCAGGTGGTGATGCTGCCCGTCAGGATGCTTTCCACAGTGCAGGTGTAGAAGGTCTTAAGGATGCTGGGGTTCAGGCCAAACCTCCTCAGCCTTCTGAGGAAGTAGAGGCGCTGGTGGGCCTTCTTCACCACCTGTGAGGTGTGCACTGCCCATGTCAGGTCCTCGCTGATGTGAACACCGAGAAACTTAAAGCTGCTGACCCTCTCTACCGCAGTCCCATTGATGGAAATCGATGGGTGTACTCTCTCCTGCTTCCTGAAGTCCACGATCAGCTCCTTGGTCTTACTGACGTTTAGAGAGAGGTTATTCTCCTGGCACCAGTTTTCCAGGATTTTAACCTCCTCTCTGTAGGCCGATTCATCGCTGTTGGAGATCAGGCCCACAACTGTTGTGTCGTCAGCAAACTTTATGATGACGTTGGAGCTGTGTCTAGCAGTGCAGTCATGGGTGTACAGGGAGTACAGGAGCGGGCTGAGCACACAACCCTGGGGGGCTCCGATGTTGAGGGTCAAAGAGGAGGATGTGATACTTCCCATCCTTACCACCTGCCGTCGGTCCGTCAGGAAGTTCAGGATCCAGCTGCACAGTGTGCTGTTCAGACCCAGATCCCGGAGCTTGCAGTTGAGCCTCGAAGGAACGATTGTGTTGAATGCTGAACTGTAGTCTACAAACAGCATTCTCACATACGTGTCCTTCTTTTCTAGGTGGGAGAGGGCAGTGTGCAGGGTCAGGGCGATTGCATCGTCGGTGGATCTATTCCGCCTATATGCAAATTGCAGTGGGTCCAGGGTGGCAGGCAGTGAGGAACAGATGATATCTCTGACCAGCCTCTCAAAGCATTTGCTTACGATGGAGGTCAGGGCAACAGGTCGCCAGTCGTTCAGACAGGTAATACTAGCTGTCTTTGGAACTGGCACAATGGTGGCTAGTTTGAAACTAGCTGGCACGACCGAGAGAGACAGTGAGGTGTTATAGATGTCTGCAAAAACTCCTGCTAGTTCCCTGTAGCAGGCTTTAAGCACTCTCCCGGGAATGCCATCTGGTCCTGCTGACTTGCGTGGGTTCACCCTCTTGAAGGCTTTGCACACATCAGCTACGGAGACGGAGGGGGCGTTGGGATCAGCGGTGGGCGGGGCGCTCTCCAGTGGTGTTGCGGGAATTCCGTCGAAGCGAGCGTAGAAGTTATTAAGCTCGTCCGGCAGATCAGCGCTGGTACTGGGCAGAGTGCGAGAGGCAGTTTTATAGTCAGAGATTGTATTTAACCCCTGCCATAAGCTTCGTGTGTTGGCTGTGTTGAACTGTGCTTCCACTTTCATTCTGTACGCACGTTTAGCTGCTCTGATGGATTTACGGAGAGCGTAGTTGGATTGCTTGTACTCCTCCGTATTTCCCGCTCTGAATGCAGCGCTGCGTGCGCTGAGGGCGGAGCGAACCTCACAGTTCAGCCAGGGCTTCTGATTGGGGTAAACGCGGACTTGTCTGCAGGGCACTACGTCATCAACACACTTGCGTATGAAGGCGGTGACTGTGTCTGCGTACTCGTCCACGCTGCCCGACGAATCACGGAACATTTCCCAGTCCACATGATCAAAACAATCCTGCAGCATAGCGTCTGATTGGTCAGACCAGCGGCGCACCTCCCTGGTAGTGACCGGCCCCCGTTTCAGCTTCTGCCTATAGGTGGGCAGGAGCAGGATGGAGGAGTGATCTGATTTGCCGAACGGGGGTCGGGGGAGGGATTTGTAACAGTTCCGGATGCTGGAGTAAACATGGTCTAAAATCCTGTCTTTCCGAGTGAAACATGTTACGTGCTGGAATAATGTCGGACAGTAGGTTCGCAGGTTATTCCGATTAAAGTCCCCCGCAACAATAAGTGCAGCCTCCGGGCGCGCGGTCATCTGCTTGCTGATAGCCTCGTGTAGCTTCCCGAGCGCGAGGTCCGAGTCCGCCTGCGGGGGGATGTACACCGCGGCCAGACAGAGTCCCATTATCTCACGGGGCAGCCACGCCGGCCGGCAAAACACGATGAGATATTCCAAATCCGGCGAGCAGAAAGACTCGATGAAATGTACATTCCTCCGATCACACCAAGCGTTATTGATCAGAAAACATACACCTCCTCCTTTGCTTTTCCCGGAGAGCTGCTTGGTTCTATCGGCGCGGTGCAGAGAGAACCCGGCGGGTTCGATGGCATTATCAGGGACCTCATCGGATAACCACGTTTCTGTGAGGCAGAGAACGCTGCAGTCCCGGATCTCTCGCTGGAAGGCGACCCGTGCATGAAGCTCACACAACTTGTTTTCCAAGGACTGCACGTTAGCCAGTAATATGGTGGGAAGAGGCGGCCGATGGGCACGTCGTCTGAGTCTGACGAGCACGCCGGCTCTCTTGCCTCTTTTCCGGCGTCTTCGACGGGTGCGTGGCCGGGCGGCCCAGATGAGTGGCGCCTCTCCAGTGTTAGTAAACAAAGGATCGGCGTTATGGAACTCAAAGTCCGGTTTCCGGTGAGTGATCGACGATCTGATTTCCAGAAGTGTTTGTCGGTCGTAGGTGATAAAACCAGTAACATTTAGTGCAAAAGAGTTAAAAACAAACACAAAAACAACAAAAAACTGCAAAAGTAAGCGGGAGCTCGCAACACGGCAGCCATACTCGGCGCCATCTTGAAATAAACACATGTCACATGTGTTTACTTATTAGCTAACACTGGGTGCTAACTTGTCACATGTGTTTACTTATTAGCTAACACTGGTCGCTAACTTGTCAGATGTGTTTACTTATTAGCTAACACTGGGTGCTAACTTGTCACATGTGTTTACTTATTAGCTAACACTGGTCGCTAACTTGTCAGATGTGTTTACTTATTAGCTAACACTGGGTGCTAACTTGTCACATGTGTTTACTTATAGCTAACACTGGGTGCTAACTTGTCAAATGTGTTTACTTATTAGCTAACACTGGGTGCTAACTTGTCACGTGTTTACTTATAGCTAACACTGGTCGCTAACTTGTCACATGTGTTTAGCTAACATTGGGTGCTAACTTGTCAGATGTGTTTACTTATAGTTAACACTGGTCGCTAACTTGTCACATGTGTTTACTTATAGCTAACGCTGGTCGCTAACTTGTCACATGTGTTTACTTATAGCTAACGCTGGTCGCTAACTTGTCACATGTGTTTACTTATAGCTAACACTGGTCGCTAACTTGTCACATGTGTTTACTTAGTGGCGAACACTGGTCGCTAACTTGTCACATGTGTTTACTTTGTGGCGAACACTGGTCGCTAACTTGTCACATGTGTTTACTTAGTGGCGAACACTGGTCGCTAACTTGTCACATGTGTTTAGCTAACACTGGGTGCTAACTTGTCAGATGTGTTTACTTATAGCTAACGCTGGTCGCTAACTTGTCACATGTGTTTACTTAGTGGCGAACACTGGTTGCTAACTTGTTAGGTATGTTTGCTTGTTAGTTAACACCGGTACTGTTAAATCAATACTGCATGCACAGAATTATTAGAGTTAAGCAATGCTTCATGTTTTTTACAAGAGTGAAAATATAAGCAAAAGACACTCATTCTGCTAGCAGTCATGCAAAATTGCTAGGATTAGCTATGTAGCTAACAAATAAACAAACCTCGCTAACACTGCCTTAAACCTGTTAGAGCACAAAGTTATAACTTTTCTGATTTTATAAGCCTCCTGATGTCTCGATGTAAGCATGTAACTACTGCTTTCATTTATTTACATTTATTTGCCTCAAACCAACACACCCAATTCATTTTTGTGTTGCAGCACAATATAACTGTGAAATTTAACAATGGTAGACAAAGAGCACAGTCAGCTGTAATGTTTGCAATCATCTTAAATTATACCGATCAGGAGATTATGTAATAATTGGAGCACGCCTGACAGTGGATTGTCAATATTGCCGGATATTATCAGCCAGCTGATATATCGGCCTAACTCTATATTATCTCTAAAATGAAAGAGTGTTTACTGACTTTTTAACTTGAGGAGTGTGTTTTTCAGTAGAAAGAAATGTGTCTGTATTTTTCTAATGTAATACATCCTGGAGTTAAATATGTTTCTTATCACTAAAACAACTGACTGCCTTGTTGCTTTGTGGTGCTCTGTGGGATTGGACTCCTGCAGTGTGAGTGACAGCTGTCAGTCAGTGTGGTGGTGAATGACTCAGTGCTTGACTGTGACTCACACAAGCTGTTGTATGTTATGATTCATGTAGGGACGATATAGCAGATCTGGAGGATGCCAAGAAGCTGCTGCGAGAGGCTGTGGTCTTGCCAATGTGGATGCCAGATTTCTTCAAGGGCATCCGGCGCCCATGGAAGGTTAATATGTTGGACCTTGCCAATCAGACTCAGACACCCATATGTGACACACTTCAATGTTCACAAAAACAAACACGTTTTGCACGTCTGCTGTTGAAAATTGTTTGAATTAATGACCGCTTAGAAAACACATGTATGCCCTCTTTTGGCTTTTATGCCTTGCAGCTCCCAGAAGTTTAAAGTTTTATACCCTGGAAGTTGAAAAAATACTGAAAGACAGCAGAACAGAATGAAATCTTAATATTTTCACACCCTGTAAATATTATCTCCTGGAGCAAGATATTCTTGGGAAAATGACAGTTTGTAAAATAAACCAGATTAGACTAAAACTTGAGTCTTGCATATACTGAAAATGCTACATATATTTTAGTCCACTTGATGGTGCCGTTTCGTAAATTTTAGCCTTGGTGAGCTTTGTGATTATTTCAGTCAGATAGGTTTATGTTGACACTCTCAGAACAAAATGTATTCAGCTTCACTTTAGCTTTTGTCTAACTTTCATGATAGAAATGGTCCAAAATTAGATGAAATAAAACAATAAAACTTGTTACATTAACTTACATTATATATTGCCCTTCTCCTGTGAAACTACAGTTTTGGAGGTACGAAGTTTTGTTCTAACAGTGACGATATATAGTTGGGTGTGTATAAATGATGCTGTATGTACACTCTTAAGAAAAAGGGTGCCACAAAGTGTTCTTCAATGGAACCATTCAAAACACCACTTCTGGTTTCTTAAAGATACATGTTTGAGATTTGATTGTGCATTGTTTTTAGGGAACCAAAAGTGGCTCTACTATGGCATCATGCCAATAGGTCTGTCACAGACATGAAATTGTAGCTGACTGTTAATTGCCCTATAAATAGTTCCTAATAACAATATAAATGTCTTTTTTTCACTGTATGCAGCAGTTACAGTACAGGCCTAAAATGGCCTAGGTTGATCTTGCCTCCTAGCAGTCAATACTTAGTATCTTCCAAATGACGTCAGACACAGATTTCCGCAGGCGCTTATATGATACCTCTATCACACCACATCACAGAGAAAACTGCCGTGACGAAAGCACTACTGTAAACGCTAACTTGTTCTCGTTAGGTTTGTGCGCCGTCTGAGTCTTGCGCCACTCTCTGTATACTCGTATGCTCGGTCTGCACTGCGGCGGCTAAACAAACATCTCATGCTGCAGCTTACGAAATGACGAGCTGACTGCTGAGGTACTCTAATTAATTTAATTTTATACAGTCTTTGTTGTGTCAAAAGTCAGTGAGGTTGCGGATTTGGGCGGGACTAAAATCACTGAGTAACTTCGGTAGCCTAAAAAATGCATGACCTCCCTACACAATGTAAAACTAATCTCTCCCAAACTTAGATAACTGAATATGTCTAAATAAATATGTCTTTGTTATTGGTAACTGGAGTTACTGGAATAATCGAGAACGATGTCCACATAATCATGATGTGTGTGCAGTATGTTGTGCCTTATGACAAGACCCTAAACCACTTTTTATAAACGAAACCGAGGCATGTTTGCACATGAAAGTATTGGATGCCAGAGGAGTCAAAACAAAATTAAATAGGCTTTAAAATTGTAAAACATTAATGTACTGAGCAGAATGACAGACCGTTCTCTCAGGTCAGAGTGTTGAACCTGGTGCAGATATTTGTACATGAGTCAGATTTCAATTTCACTCGCAGTCATTTCATTTCAACTTGCATTTTGACTTACTAGCTTAGATTTAAATATTAAATTAATATGTAGATGATGTAGGTCTTTTGTCCTCTTTGAAGAGCTGTCTATATGTTAAAATAGTGCTGGGTAGTTACTAATAAAATTCATTATCATGGTATTTTTAAATATATCACGGTATGTGATATATGGTATATATTGCTAAAAATATCAGTAAAACAGGAAATGGTATGCCAGTATCACAGAATACCGGTAGAGAAAATATATTGCCCAGCACTATGCTCAATGTTTGGCATAGAAATTTTATTTTATGTCACTCTGATTACAGCACCAGTCAAAAGACCCATGACATTTCTCAAAAAACATGTTTTCTGTTTTTTGTATTTACATACATTTGCAAGTGCGATCAGGTTATTTTGTAATTGGCACCTTTATTTAGAGTGTATGTGTCTGTACATGATTTTATTGTTAGTTTGAAAAGATTTCTCTTTAAACTTGCGTGCTGTTCCATTGTTTCTACTGTCTCTTAGGGTGTGTTGATGGTGGGACCCCCAGGTACAGGCAAGACCATGCTGGCTAAAGCTGTAGCTACTGAGTGTGGCACCACCTTCTTCAATGTATCGTCTTCCACGCTCACCTCAAAGTACCGTGGAGAGTCGGAGAAGCTTGTGCGGCTGCTCTTTGAAATGGTAACTCCTTAAACTTTAAGGATCCATCTGTTTCCTTCCTCTCTCAGTGATTACTCTATAATTCATAGTAGTTACTCCTCTGGGAAGGCTTTTAAAGTATTAGAGTATTTGTGAGGTCTCGCACTGTTGTTGGATAAGAAGGCTCTCAATCGCCATTCCAGTTCACCCCAAAGGTGTTCAGTTGGGATGAGGTCAGGGCTCTGTGCAGGCCACTGGAGTTTCTGCACACCAGTCCTTCTTAATGGACCTCGCTTTGTGTACGGGGGCACAGTCATTCTGGATCAGAAAAGGGCTTCCCCAAACTCTTGCCACAAAGTTGGAAGCATATAATTATTTAAAATGTCTTTGCATGCTGTAGCCTTAACATTACACTTAACTGGAACTAAGGAGCCGAGGCCAAACCATGAAAAACAGCCCTAGACGATTATCCCTCCTCCACCAAACTTTACTATTGGCACTATGCATTCAGATAGATAATGTTCTTCTGACATCTACCAAACTCAGATTCGTCCATCAGACTGCCAGATAGTGAAGTGAGATTCATCACTTCAGAGAACACATTTCCGCTGCTCCAGAGTCCAGTGGCAGCATGCTTTTACATCACTCCAGCAGACTCTTGGCATTGCACATAATAATCTTAGGCTTGTGTGCAGCTGCTCAGTCATGAAAACCCATTTCTTAAAGCCCTTGATGCACACTGTGCACATTGTGCTAATATTGGTTCCAGAGACAGTCTGGAACTCTGCAGACAGTGATGAAACTGAAGATAGGTGTTTTTTTTCCACACTACACGCTTCAACATTTGACTGCCCTGCCATGTGAGTTTGTGTGGTCTGCTATTTGTGGCTGAGCTGTTGTTGCTCCTAGACACTTCTATTTTACAATAATAGCACTTCCAATTGGATGACAGATCTAGCAGGGCACAAATTTGGCAAATTGATATGTGGCAAAGGTGGAATCTTATGACAGTATTACACTTAAAGTCACTGAGCTCTATAGCTTTCAGATCTTCACAGTTCTTCTTTGCTTTAGTAAAAAGATTAAAGTGAACAAAGCGTAAGCTTAATGAGATAAAACAAAGTTTTTTTTGGAGGAATAATTTGCAGACAATACATCACATACTACAATTTCATATCATACAATTTCATATCACAAATCTTTAAAAAATATAATAGAAGTGTACAGTGTCTCAGGGATTTCAATTCCTATTAATGGCCATAAGTTAACAAGTCAGAAAATGCTAAATGTTTTTTTTTTAAAAAAAGTCTTCTGTATTTAACAGGCTCGATTTTACGCCCCTACTACTATCTTCATTGACGAGATTGACTCTATTTGTGGGAGACGTGGCACATCAGACGAACACGAAGCAAGTCGTCGAGTCAAGTCTGAGCTGCTAGTGCAGATGGATGGTAAGCAGGAGACCGGCACAGCGAGATTCTGATTTCATTTGAACTTCAGTCATATTGTGAATTACGTAATCCTGGCAACTCTTATGCAGGTGTAGGGGGTGCATTAGAAAATGATGACCCCTCTAAAATGGTGATGGTCCTGGCTGCAACCAACTTCCCATGGGATATTGATGAAGCACTGAGGAGAAGGCTGGAAAAGAGGATTTATATTCCTCTTCCCACTGGTATGACCAAGTTGTCGGTCTCTTTCTTGCACATTCTCATTCACAGTCACACAGGGACACACACACATACGCATAGACTTCATATAAGCACCCTGAAGAAGCTTAAAGGCCTCAGCATACTTCTTGCGAAATTAAATTCTCGAGGGTTGTGCGAAGCCGAAAGTGCCTTTGCGAGGTTACAAGCTCACATACTTTCTGCAGTTTTGTGTTGCCTGTTGCGGATGCTTCATATGACGCTATGACATTTTATGATAAGTTTCATGACTGCTGGAAAACGATTCAGTTCTAACTATGGTGACGTTGAGTTCAGAATACTGTCACTATTTAAGATGGAACAGGAAGATTCAAACAAGAAGCTGGTGAATAGAAAGCCAACTTCAGCCTCGTCCTCTTGTGAACCTAAATATAATATAACGTATATGTTAACTTAAGGTTATCGCTCTAACTCAAGGTTTCAGTATAAATATAAGTTGTCATCTCTACTTTTTTGATTTTTTTAATAATTTCACCTCACTAAAAGGTTGAAATAGACATTTTTATATAACTTTTTTTTTTTTTGCTCATGTTCTCCTAGGGTGCCAATAATTGTGGAGGACAATTCACTGCACATGAGCAATTACAGCTCCTCCAGTTCACCCACACAGACATCCCACTCACACAAAGAGAATGTTTTACTGATCATACATAACAGGCCTCATTCACAAAGTACTGAGTCACTGGCCTTGTGTTCTTGTGAATGAATCACTTTCTCACTCAGGTGCTTCACTCATGCCTTGGATGACAAATGGAAAGTGTTTGCCACCTTCCATGATTTTCTCTATTACTGCATATTTGTCACAGTGAGTGCTTCTTTTAACAATCCAAGAGATCTTTAAACAAAATGAAGAGGACTTCATCTAATGTGAAAAAAAGATATTTTAATTTATTATTTATTTAAGGAGCAAAAATATCTAGGATGTGAATCATCCCTGTGAAAAAGCGGTTCCCCCTTTATAATTAATAACTTCCATGGTCTACAGTAGCAACAGCTGTAGCTAACAGGTGTCTTAGAAACTTACAAATGGTTTTGTATTCATTTCCATTATAAAAACTTTGAGGTGACTAATCACTCTGATGGCAAATTTCAATATGTGTGAAAATTAGTGAGATCATAATCAACAGGACTGCTGGCTACATTCAAGCCTGTCTGTTAAATCAGCTCAATCTTACAATACAATACTATATAGTGTCAGAATTCTCTGAAATTTTACTTGCATCCCAGTGGCTCAGTGGCTACATTACACTACACTCACATCCTCCAGGAAAAAAAAAACTTCACAGACAATGAGACAATCATGTAACACACGTTACATCAATACACTTAAACAACATCTCTGAATTCCACAGTGCTCCCCACTACTCCTAATATTGCACAGGAATTGTATATGTATCGAAACTGTCTGCTCCTTTGATTAAGTACCACAAATGACAGAGCAAAAGAGTTCCTAAACCTATTAAGTCCTGAACTTTGTACTCTAAAACATGTTTTATTCACCCCATAGCACATGTGATGGATCAGACAAAATACTACACGCTAATCTTTCCATATTTTTCCTACAGGCTGTTGTAAAACCATCCTCCAAAGATTGACCTACAATCTTGGAACTAATTTGTCTAAGCAATCTAGTCCTCGATTTCACCTAAATATACCATATACTATGCTGTCACACAGTATTGCATCACATTCTAGATTACAGTAGTGTAAAAGAAAGATAAAATCTTGTTATTGGCCCCAAATGATTTTAACCTGCAAAGAATAAGCTGCTGTATTTTACTGAAGATATAATCAATAATATCACTATCATGAAATAAGACTAATCCTTTATATTGTTGCATCTACATGTACACCTAGGTTTTTATAGGACATAACCTGCTTAATTTCCTAATTCTGTATTCTTATGAATGGTGGGTTTGTTGCTTGACTTACTGAGGTAGTAATTACTTTTTTCCAGATTCCTTAAATCAGTTCAATAATAATTAAATAAAAAATGTGTTTTATGTTTGGTATTGATCTCTTTGTCTTATAATTCATTTTATGTTAATGATCTAAATGTGACAAATATACAATAATAGAAAAAAGGGCAAGGGCAAGAAGGGCCAAATACTTTTTCATGGCACTGTACTAGGGGTGTAATTGTACACAGAAGTCATGGTTCTGTTCACACTGCGGTTCAGACATTACGGTTTGTTACGGGCTCGGTACAACAGGAAAAAAAGCAACCAAAAAACCCAAATGTGTAAGGTTTCTTTTTGTTTATTTTGAACAGACAGTAGTGCAAGTTATAGTTTGTTCCAAGTAGTATTGTATAATCCCCACCAAGGTAGTTGGTACAGCCTGTAGTGTGGGTTGATTTGCACTCGATGGGGAAAGTCACTAACGTTAACTAATGTGTACAGTGTTAGCTCAGCTATGATTTTGTGGTTAGGAGCAGGGGAAGCAAAGATTTATAAGGCTTCATGTTGAGTCTCTTCACAGGTGCAAAAAAACTGCAAGCTGCAGAGAGGGACAAGTCCCGTTTCGTACGTTTAATTTCATATTCTCTGTACGACTGCATGCGCTGAACCTTAACGTCTGTACTGTGATGGTTCGGGATGAATACACTTACCGCTAGACCCCTACACCGTACATACATGCAGGCAGATTAATGAATTATAATAATGATACTGTTATTCACAGTACTACAACAGTGCCCTGAACAGTTTCATGTTTGCCCTGCTTTAGCACACTGGATTCAGCTCATCAACTATTTATCAAACCCTTCATGGGCTGAATTAGGTGCCCTGGAACACGAAAAGAAAAACATTAAACTGTGCAGTGCAATGGAAAACCCCTGTAGTAACTGAAACTGCACTCTTTAGCAATAGGGCGAGCAGAGCTGCTGAAGATTAGCCTGAGGGAGGTGGAAGTGGCACCTGATGTTGACCTGGCTGTCATCGCTGAGAAGATTGAGGGGTACTCTGGCGCCGATATCACCAACGTCTGCAGGTATGTCAGAAAACAGCCAAAATGTGTGCACACACTGTGTCCAAACGTTTGAAGACACCTAGTCTAAAAAATACCACTTGAATGGCTTAGACGCTTCAAATGTAGGGAGCAGGGAGCCGTTTGAGATTCAGCCCCGGCACAAAAAGAGGGGCGCTGCTGGATTGATGCTAAATAAGACTTGCTGTGGTGATTTAGTGACCAAAAAGGTACTTCTAAAGTGAAAGTTTTTGCATTAAACAGTGCTGTGTTATCTTACGTTTATTGTTATATGACAAAAAGTGAAAACAATCATGAAATGACCACAGTATACAGCGATGGGCGACCGAACGTCCTCCTCATTCAGTGATCCGTGGTTGCTTGGCAATGACACCGTACTCTAAAGGAACTGCATTTCTTGGCAGAATACTTGTTTATGTCGATTATTATTAATAATAAATTATTTTATGAAAAATCGCGTCGTGTCAAAGAACACCCTTCCTGTGATAAAATTGCAGTAACACACGGTCTCTCATGGCTTATTACTTTTTTAAAGGCTACCTAGTAGCATCTGTGAAAGGTTAAGCTGTACAAAGGGAAATTTAGAAGCTCACATCTGAAACTTTTTATATTAAGGAAAAAAAAACTGGCCTTAGCTGACAAAATTTGAATGTAAATAAATTAAAAAAAACAGTAAGTGGATCGTGGAGGCCATGTTTACAGTAATTAAACCAGGGAAATCATTTAATCACTTGACCTTAAAGAGGTAGGTTTTCATGTCTAATACGGAGGAGGTTTCAGGTTTCACACCTGAAAGTCAAGTCCAAACCAAGGTTCATGTTTTTGTTACATTGTATACATTTGATCTGGTTAGTTTTGGTTTCACATTGCAAATTAGCAAGAGCACCAAAGAACTTTGCATGACATACCAACATCCTGTTGTCATCACCTACATTGGTTGCGTCTCCCTATACTTGACATTAATTGGTTTGTAGGGGGAGGATGCGTCTCAAGTCGGCGTGTTGTCAATTCGGCAGGTAGCCTTTTCCGTTTGAATGGAGCAAAATATTCACGTTTGACTTTTTTGCTTCTCTTCCGTTTTTTTTTTCTTCTGTTGTTCAGTGGGTGACAATAGCCTGCTTTAACTTCCTGTAATTGGTCTGAGAGTCCAAACCATCCGAGAAAGTGTTGTCACACTGCAAACAAACCGAACCATGGTTCGGCTTGATCTGGACTGACCACCTCTTTTGGTTGGACCCAGTTTTGGTCCTTGGGTCCAGACTGTGGTTCAGGGTACCTTTTACACCTGCTATTTTGGTTTGGACCAAACTGAAAAGTCTGAAGGTTCAGACCAAACAAGATAGGTGTGAAAGCACCCTTAGTTGCCAAGGAGGACTTGATGTCTTTTACACAAGGTCTTGTGGCAACTTTAATAAAACAATACAAAGAATGGCATGTGTACGAGAGCTTTAATATTTATCCTTACATTCAGTGTTTTAGTCACAAAAACAAGCACTGTACTATCCTGTTTAATCTAACCAATTTATCAATCTGTCAGCAGCTAAGTTTAGACATTACTACACTAGTTAGCAAACTAACCTTAATATTTTTCTGTAACCTTTTACTTATAAATCGTATTAGAAGTGTAAAATGTTTGTAAAATACAGCAAATACAGTAACCTAAATACAGAAGTTTAGCTTACTTTAGAGCCAGCATGAGTCTTAGTGTGTGAGTGTGTGAGTATGTGAGTGTGTGTATTTGTGTGTATATTTCAGCATTGCTGTAAATTATGACTGTTCAATCTTATCAACAAAGTGACAGTGTGGCTGCAGGTTTTCGTTCCAAACAAACCGTAGCACTCATGATTCTCCTCAAAAAATCAGTTGGTCGTTAAACAATTGATCATGTGAGCTCCTGCTGTGTTGGAATGACAGTCCATTGCCACTCTGGCACTTTGTGGAAAGGATTGGACATCCTGCAAAAAAAAAAACTTCAGTTGTTTGTTAATGCAGTAAACCACTCATTTTTTATTATCTGATATCTTCATGCAGTGTAGCACAGTTTTGCCCATGCAGGCGAATCTCCAATCCTGCTGCCAGTGTGTCACTTGTATATGTTGGGGCCTGCACAGATTGGCTCACATTTCCCTGTAGGGCAAACAGTACCATGTAACTGGAAGAAACAAAGAAAACATTTAAGTGTTTACATTAACACATAATCACATCAGTACTTCAGTACCAAAAGACACTTTCCAGCTAGAACATATTTGTTAACACTAAACTAATTTATTTTCAACACAAATATTGGTCCCATGTTAAACACATAGTTATCTTAACAAAAAAGCCCTAAACTTACCTAAGTACACTGCACCATCTTGAAAAAGCAGGCAAATAACCTGAATGTTCGCGTCCTGTAGTCTTGCAGGATTCAGACGTCTGATGAGGTAGGCTCAGCGTAGACCTAGGTAAGCGCTCGGCTCACTATATCATGAATAATTCAAAAGAAACAAAGGGCTACTTTCACATAGGCTTCAAGTTTCATTGTTAGTTGTGATGTTTGTAGTAATTCCTATTATGAATATGCATGTATGTCCAGATTTGAGGTCTCCCACTGATGGAGACCTTAAAAACGTGCTTTTTTGTCACATTGTCACGACTACGTTTTTCGGTGATGCACAAAATTTTATTAACATCTTAATGTGCCTGTTTAACCATGTTTAATGTTTAATGCCAGGCGTATTACTGAGGATTATTATTCAGTAACTACTTCAGTGCAAGCTGGCTGAACTATTCTTAGGTTATAGAAGTGTGTCATAAAAATTTAGGCCCACTAGTGAGCCCTGGCCATTTAAGGGGTTAAACATGTTTTGCTCCAAATGGCCTTCAATGAAACTGAGTGAAATATGTGAGTAAATTAATTGAGTGAAATTTAATTGAAATACTACAAGGTAATTAAAAACTTCACTGATACACACATTTTTCATAGCATACAGCAATATTCTTTTCATAATATTGCACTTTTGTTTCTACAGAGATGCGTCCATGATGGCGATGCGACGGCGGATCCAAGGCCTGAGCCCGGAGGAAATCCGAGCACTCTCTAAAGACGAGCTGCAGATGCCTGTCACTATGGAGGACTTTGAACTCGCTCTCAAGAAGATCTCCAAGTCAGTCTCTGCTGCTGATCTGGAGAAATATGAGGCCTGGATGAACGAGTTCGGCTCTGTTTAATTACAAGAGCTAGATTAGGCTGACATGAAGGGAGAGTGGATCAATACTTGAAGCTTGAATCTTCTACTAAAACTCGCAGATATGAAAGACTGTAGTCAGTTTCCAGCTAAGTTTAGATACTGGACCAAGGAGAGCAGCTCTGTGCTGCCTGTATTTGCACCTTCATCCCTTAAAAAATGCACTACTGCTGTAACACACTGGTTGAATAGTGTGGTGTGAAATTGAGCCAATTTGATTCTCTCATTTCCTGGAGATTCCGCCACACCGTTTTTCTAAGTAGTATTGTTAGTCTTAAAGTCTCTTGAATTTGGATAAGCTAAACAAGCAGGTACATTGTGATGTTGGTACTGTATTTGTTTTTCTATAATGTTATAAAACTATAAACACGATACGTGTTCTGTGTTTTATTTGTTTAATGAGATTTTAATGGCTGTGATAGTCATAATAAATTGTTTACTTCAATTTTTACATTTTCATTGTGTATTTTAGAAAAGTCGATTCTTCCCTCTTTTTTCAACAGCAGCCTCAGAAAGTAAATGTGATTATTCTCCCTTAATGTGAGTACTTTCCAGATGTTACACAAAAAAAGTCTCATTACAGTGATTATATAGCTTTCAGCATCACCAAAGATACAACCCCATTGCTTATGAAATTTTGTTTTGTCCAGAATACAACTGCAGTGCTGATTTCATGGGCATGGGCAGTGCAACCTGCACCACTATGTTGGCTTCCTTTCATGCTTTCTCGCACTGGTGCTGTTCTACTGTTTGCAATCACTGAGCTTAACCTATTTTATATTATTTTGAAATTATATAGGCAAATACTCCACTGGGATCCACTGTATACCCTATATAGGGGTCATTGCATAGCTTACAGTATGTGTCCAAAAGTTTGTAGACATCTGCTCATCCAACATTTCTTCTGAAAACAAGGGCATACTCTACTTGACGGCTTTGCATTAGATGTTGAAACATTGCTGTGTGGATTTGATTGGATTCAGCCACAGCAACATTAGTGAGGCCAGGTTCTGATGTTGGATTGTAGGTTCTAGATCACAAATGTTACTCCAACTCATCCCCCCAAAAAATTGGATGGTGCTCCATACAACATAGTTTCACAGCTCCATAGCGCAATGTTAGGGACTTTATACCCCGCTAGTGGCTAGAGCAATGATTCCCAACACAGCTCATTAACAAGCACTTCATGACTTGAAGTGGATGTGCTGGGAACAGAGAAAACCCTGAAGTGTGCAGGGGGTACTCCAGGTCCAGAGCTGGGAACCTGTGGGCACCCATGTCAGCAGTGGGTGCACCTTAACAGTAGTAATTAAAACAGTAAGTCTGGAAATGACCAAAAGTTTTAAATGTACCTGATTTTTTCTTTGATATTAGCTGAAAATTGTATGGATAATGGTTTTTATGGTTAATGTTATCAAAGTATCAGACAGATCAGAGTTCTGAATGTTGCCGTAAACTTGCTTGTTCCCCTGAGCACAGAGCAAAGAAGTTCACTGCTATTCGGCCGTTGCACAGCAGCTGGCTGCTTCCTCGGCAGCAGTGAGTCAGCCTGCAGAGAGCGCGGGCAGCAGGAGGACGACAGGGGGAGAGGATGACTCTGTGTTCGTGGGCTGTGTGTGAGTGAGTGAGTGAGTGTGTGTGGTGGGGGGGTGGGGAGGATAGTGGGTTGCACAGTAGTCACGCTTGCCTTTGGTGATTTATAGATACATTGAGCTACTATGGTGGCACGCTGATCTTTGAGAGGAAACAGATTGACATAACGAGCGAGGTAATCCATACAACTAACATATACCTGTTGCCCTGTGAGGTGATGGTGCAGCTAATTAATGTCAGCTGCCATCCCCTGAAATGAATGTGCGGTGTAAGAGCGGGGGTGGGGTGGGGGGGTTGGGGGGATAGGGGGTGGACCACCTGAAGTGTGGAATCCTGTGGAACCACCTTCCTGCAGAGGATTCCATTAGCTGATGTTAAGCAAGGAAATTCATGCCAGAGTTTTCTCAAATTAGCAGATGCGTTCTACAGTTGTTTCAATGCCGGCCATTTCTTATTCTCAATCCACAACATGACAGTTGTAATGTCGGAGTCCGTCCTTTGTTTCTGTCTCAAATTATCCAGATCAATTCCAAATGTTTGACAGGTGTCTCGAAGGTCAGCTGGGACTGGAGCAGTTTGACAGATCCACCTGCGGAGGAACTGTCATAATAGCTTGCTCTGTGCTGATAATCGAACGCTGTATGCCTTTGTTGGGCACGGCCTCTTCAGGTCTCCTTGACACGCCATCAGCATTGGCATGCTGCTTCCCATCCCGATGGATGACCTGGTAGTCATACTTATCCAATTCAAGCACCCATCTAGCACTTCTCCCTGTGGGATCTGCATTCATAGGGCTCTTGAGGCTGAATGGAGGTTTGTGATCAGTGATAATAGTAAAAAAGCAGAAATTGCCAAACAGGAATGTTTGAAGTTTTTCATAGCCCATACAGTGCAGTTAAACACTAGGACATTATCCAGGCAAATAAGGCACACTTTCCAGTGAAGGCCTCTCATCAGAAGCTCCATGAGCCTCTGGAAGTTTGAGGGAGCAGTCATTAAGCCCGCTGACTTTAAAAATAGTACAATGAGTTGCCTATAGTAAAAGCTGTTTTCTCCTTGTCATTCTCAGCTAACTCAACTTGCCAGTAGCCACTCGACAAGTCCATTTGTACTAAACCAGCAAGCCCCAAACAAGCTGTCGAAGGCTTCGGCAGTCCGAGAAAGCGGGTTTGCATCTCTCACTGCCACTAAATTCAGTTTCCTGAAGTCAGTTCAGAACCTGTAGCTCCCGTCTTTCTTTTTAACTAATACCAAAGGTGAAGCCCATGGACTGCAGCTCTACTCGATAATGCCTTGAGCCAGAAGCTGTTGGACTTTTCCACCTCTATCCTTATCTGTGGGGATGTCCTAAAGGCCCTCTGACGGATAGGTGAGGCATCTTCTGTCCGGATGATGTGTTTCACAATATTAGTGTGTCCATAGTCGTGATCACGAGCACTGAAACATCAGCATGTGTAGCCAGAAGATTCTCTAGTTGTTTGTGCTGTTCTCCATTTAGTGCTGAATGCCTGAGGCTTTGACAGTGACTGGGCTTGTACTCTAGTCACAGTTGGATCAATCATACTAAACTGCTCACCTCCTTGATTCACTAAAGATTGAAAATCCCCTAACACTGCGTCACCTGGAACATGGCAGTCCAAATGTGTTTACCTGCGTACATGTGATTTTCATGTTCAGTTCATGTGAAACTTACATTTACTTGATTAAAATGTTGAAAAGTAATCGCAAGTAATTATTTTAATTGTTTGACGATGGTTGTTGTTATTATTATTATTATTATTATTATTATTATTATTATCACCATTATCATCATCATCAGTGGTACTAATAGTAGCAGCAGCTTTATTTTTATTTCACATAGTACTCAGAGGTGCTTCGCATTGCTTTCTCTTTACAGCACGACTAAACTTAAAAGAGCTCCCAGAAAGTCTGTACAGACACGGATGGACTCAGTACTGTGACAAATTCTTGTGTGAATGAATCAGAGATTTACAGAACAGCCAGAGAGGCTTGTCTTACTGTCTTAACACTGCCCACTCTTTGTCATAGAAATTCCCCCACATTCATTTTTGTTCTCTAAGCCAAAACTGAAACATTGGTTGGAGTATGTGTGGTCGCTTTACTGACACACATTTCGTGTAGTAGGCTGCCTGTCGTGTAAGCAGATGAAGAGACTTTATGAAGGGAATTATTATTGTTCATGCTGTGGATTGAGCAATCAAAGATTGAGGTACACGTAAGTTGTTCATTGCCACTGGTGGCTCAACAGCTTCGTCTCGAGCTACTATATATGCACTATATGGACAAAAGTATTGGGACACACCTCTTAATCGTTGAATTCAGGTGTTTCATTCAGTCCCATTGCCACAGTTGTATAAAATCAAGCACCTAGCCATGCAGTCTGCCTTTACACATTTGTGAAAAAATGAACTGAAACAATGGACTGAACTTGAGCGAGGTACTGTAATAAGGATACCATCGTTGCAACACATCAGTTTGCAAAATTTCTTCCCTCCTAGATATTCCACGATCGTCTGTGAGTGGTATTATTGAAAAGTGGAAGCATTTAGGAACCACGTAAAGTTACAGAATGAGGTCACCAAGTGCCAACCCTCCTCTGGCATTAACATCAGCACAAAAACTGTGTGCTGGGAGCTTCATGGCATGGGTTTCCATGGTTAAGCAGCTGCATGCCAAGCATTTGATGGAGTGGTGTAAAGCACGCCACCACTACTGGACTCTGGAGCAGTGGAAATGCATCCTGTGGAGTGACGAATCATGCTTTTCTATCTGTCAGTCTGATCGATGAGTCTGGGTTTGGTGAAAGCCAGGAGAACATTACCTGCTTGACTGCATTGTGCCAACTGTAAAGTTTGGTGGAGGAGGGATAATGCTATGAGGCTCCTTTTCAGAGATTGATAATGCTTCAGCATATCAAGAAGCAAGGTCCATAAGAACATGGCTTGGTGAGTTTGACTGACCTCAACCCCACCAGTGTTACTGCAGTGCTGAGAATGATCCACCACGCAAATAGTACCTGCTCTGTGAGGGTCCATGGGGGTCCTGACCACTGAAGAACAGGGTAAAAGGGGGCTAACGAATTATGCAGAGAAACAGATGGACAACAGTCTGTAGAACAGACAAAGTGCTCCTATATAGTAAGTGGAGCTGATAAAATGAAGAATGAGCATAGAAACAAGGTGGTGGTCATATATGTTATGCCTGATTGATGTAGATTTATAGATATCTAAATTTTAACCCTTTTCTTTTCAATCAAAACTTAACAATGAAATTAGAGTATTACTTCAATACTTCAAGAGTTTTATATGGATTAAAATGAAATTTAATGTATTTCACTTGAATATAAACTACACACATGTATTTTTTTATTTCACAGAAATCATTAGACCTTCTCTGAAGGCCTAGAAGGCCCCTGGGGTTCCCCACTCGTCTTTTCTCCCTGTAGTTTAGGTGATTCAAGTTTGGAAATGTAAATTCAGGGAAAATTCAAATGCTGCAAATTAGCATGAGTAGGTGTCCATCATAGGGATTACACATGCACACTTATATGTGTGTCTGTCTCTCCTTCTCTCGCTCAATCCTTGGAGGTATAGGATGGAGGCGAATGCTTGGTGGGGCATCTAATGTGTCTATTTTTGTCCATCTCTGAACGACTGTCCATACACTCCCTGGGATTTAAATTCCCTGTGTGTCGTAACATAAGCTGTGACCTTTAATACAATCGGCCCATACTCCATCTGGACCGGGCTAGATTTAGCAGACTTAATGGATATAATCTAAGAAAAAAGATGTGGAGTGGCTGCTTATGTTGCACTCTCATGGCACACCATATGTATTTAGAAAATGGCTACCATGGTTAGCTTAGCTCTCATGTATGACTGGTCTGTGTCGATCACATGCACACTGAAGAGCGAGGAAATTCAGTTACTGAATTTTTAAGGTTTGTGCGCACAGTGCCACAATGCAAACCTTGTTTTTATTATTGTTGTTATTACCATTTCTAACCTGTACTGCATTTTGAAAACTGAACCAGTAGTGCTGGGGAGGTAGAGATATTTTCACGTGCTGCATAGGCGTTTGAGCGTGTGTTTCCTGAGCTCAGTTATTGTGCACTCTTTGATGTCTCCCTTGGGATGCAGAGCTCATTGGTGGCTGTTGATATTCAGTACCAAATTTCCTGTCTTAAACATGCGACTCCCTCAGCGTCAGAAAGAACAGCACTTCCTGTGAAATGAATACCTGACATGGCCTGGCGTACACCATGGAGAATGCAGGGATTGAAAAGGTCATATGGGACTATGGAATCACTAGTAATAGAAAATAAATATAATAGAAAAGCAAAGATTCTATTTTAGCGATTACAGTAACCTCAGTCCAGCTATTCACCATGAACCACTGTGTTTATATCTTTTTCCACAGATATCACAGAATTTAACTTTGCATACCCTGAACACTTGGTCATTTGAATGCATGCACACTGCTTTTACAGTGGTATGCAAAAGTTTGGCCACCCCTGTTCAAATTACATGTTTTAGGTTTACTTTGTAAGTGAAAACAAGTACACACCCTCTTCTTACTGTTTATTTGCCTGATGTATAATATTGAGGGAAAAAATGACACATGGCCTGCAAAGGTTATGGCACATTTCATGTTCCATTATGTTCATATCAGCAAATAAATAGGGAATGTACACAAAACATTTGATTATAGTTTGACCATGGGTATTCAAGCCTTTGTATGTGACTGTACAGAAAGACTTAGCGAGGGGGTCACCGCATGGAGTCAAAGCCTCTTCACTGCCCCTGAGCACTCAGAGCCACTGTCTTTGGGCTGAGAGCCATTGGCGGACGCTGGTGCCAAAGCTCTGATCTCGCAGGCTTTCCTCTCCAAATTAGTTCAGCACGTTCAGCCCAGCTTGAACCCTTGTTATGAACTTGCCAGTCAGATGCAGGATATCGCTGAGGGGGGAGAGAGACAGCAAAACATGCTCATAGCTGATTACCAAACACTTACTTCCCCTTACTGATGACATAACACTCCACACCCAAACAGGAACAAACATGCTACTGCCAGCACTGACAAGGGCTGGACACAGAGAGCCTTTCCACAATTGATGTACATATTTTCAAAGCATTGTAAAGATGGTGATTAACGTAATAGTGATTAACTTGTGTGAATGGATGACACCATCTTAGCTGCGTTACAGTGTGTTACAATGGCATATGACACACTATGACATTAGTACTAAAGTGAATTCAGGTGACATCACCACGCTCCCCTTCACCTGGTCACAATGTGTTGTTACCCTTTAGCCCAGCAGGTGTCACTGTCTCTAAGTGTGTTCCATGTATGTAGATTGTGTGTACATGGTGTAAAGTTTCTTGGGAAAAGAAACTTTTATCTTTCATCAGATAGACAGAAAATCTCAGTCCGTCTTTGAATGTGCCTGATGGACATTTAAGATGTGTATCTATAAAATGTTATGTTTATTCTAGTACTAGTACTGTTTGTACTAGTATTTTTGATATGTTTAACCCAGAAATAAGAATGAATTGGACTGGTGTTGACGCATCTCTTACGTCACTGTTTACTGACATTTTGTGTAAAAGCCATGCTTTTTGCGTTGAGCTGGGACCCATATTCCCCTATCATTATCAGAGAAACCAAGATCTGTTCTCAGATTTGTGGAAAGGATTCAGTGTAACCAGCACTTGGCATCCACATAGAGAAACGTGCCTAATTTGTTTGCGTGGTTTAGGCACTGCAAAGACTCGAGCTGGTAATGACTGCCCTATGACACATTAGAAGAATAAGAGGATTCTTGTAATGCTATTACATACTCCAACATTATCATTCAGGTGGCTAACTGCAACCACATTTCCCACACTGATGTCACTTCCAATCTCAAAACACACCATAACCTCTCATGCATCCATCGCCATGCAATCCATTTTGGTCAGCTTATTTTTTTCTGTGGAGCATTAGTACATGCCATGACAAAGTCACCTGTGAAAAAGTATTGGGCAGATAAGATACTGTGCTGGCAATGAATTTCCAAACAAGATGCTGACCTCACTTTGTACAGTAATAACACAGCCATGTAGCTGTTAAACTGGCAAAAGGTCCACCCAAACACAAGATCAGACCAGCACAAGGGTGCGGTTATAATGTCTGTATGACCTCAGCATAACAATGCTGATAAATACAGTCTCTTGGAAAAGGTGTGGACATACAGGTTCAAAACAGAAACAGACTTTGAAACCAGACCTTACAAAGTGGCAAAATGTCTCAAACAAAGTGTGTTGCATTGCATCTTGAAGCACTGTAGGTCAAAAAGAAAGAACAACAAAGCTGAATGCTGCAGTTTCACTGAAAGAGAACTGAACCTATGACTATTTCACTTATTCTCCTTTTTAACCAAGCACAATATTTTCAGAGTTTTATGAATGTCCGGCTTGGAGCTTGTGATTGAGACAGTGGAAAGGTTGAGGGAACCTACCAGACAAGTTTGTCCAAAGGCGGAAAGAAAAATACTGTCAGCGGTGGCTGCCATGGAGAACAGAGCAATAGTGACTTATGTACTCACCAGTGTAATGTTGAATCCAGTATTACTTGTTGCTATTCCAACATACACAGCTCCATATAACCACAGCTGCCTACCAGAAAGAGAAAAAGGGTTCATGGAAATTTTTAGATGCTCAAAGGTGGAGAAGTAAACAGGTATATGTTTAGAAGGTCTGTACTTGGAAAGAACCGTAGGGTAACTGTTCCACCCAATGACCTGCTTTAGCTTAGAGAAGAGAAGAACATACACTACCCTTCGTATACTGGGTTAGAATCACTTGTCATACTAATAATTTTTATTTTATGTACGATAATATAGTGTTTCATGTAGATTTAAAGGACAGATGTTCTATATTTTTCTAGGATGTCCTTTTTTCCCTGAGGTCCACTAATAAAGTTTTGTGTGGTTTAAAGTACCTTAAATAGACAATGGTCTATCCCTTAGAATATAACAGGCTGTTGTTGCTACTGTCCCTTTAAGACTGGTATATGTAAATGAACTCTGTTCTGATCTGAAATGCTCTTTACAACCTTAGTGTGAATGAAGCTAAACTGCTATAGGCTGAACAGGCGGATGTATGCAATTGCATTGATTTTGGGACAAAAAATATAATTTAGCCACACCAAAACTAAAAATCTTATGATAAGTAACTCACTGCACTTTTCTGAGTTTAGTCAAAAGTTCTTTTAACTCACGTTTTTTGTACTGTATCTCAGTACAGTCAGCACTGCATCTCAAGTTGAGCTTACTCAAAAATGTGAATGTGCTGCTTCTTTATAAGCTGAAATTGCTTTTTTGTTGGATTTTCACTCCTCCTCTTCAGTTTGGTCATTGCTAGTTCACACCTACAGGCTAAAACCTCCCTGCTGCATGATACTGCTGGAGACTGGGGGGGTGGAGGGCAGAGTGCTTCCTTTTCTCAGATTCCTGACAATGGAGGGCTGTGGCTTGTATTTTAACTCATGATCTCCTGATGACTGAGCAGTTAGACAGTTGTGTCACAATATTACTCAAACTTTTGTCCAATGAAGAATGAAAAGGTTCCTCATAATTAATGTAGGCTGTATGTAAGCTAAATTAAGCCTGCATACAACAGACGCAAAATGCAAATCTAGTTCATGCAAATCTAGTGTAGAGATTCAGTTTTCTTGCCTATTACAATGGCTTTTTTTCTTTCTTGTATCACTAAAATGTTTGTAATCTGATCTGAATATTTCTATAAATATTTAAGCAAAATACTCTAATATTGATAAAAAATATAATTATGAAGAAAAAGGAAAGACTTTTAATAACTGCTGTGGCGTAAGTCATCATGGCATGATTGTAGTACAGTAAAGAGGTGCTGAAAACGATTCCAGGCCAGGTTGGGCCTTCTTTCTTTATGACATTACTGGTTATAAATAAACGAAACAACAATCGATTTTGAGTTTAAAACTGTAATTGACAGGTATATCTGACACTTCTTTTGCAACTCTTTGTACTTTTTTGACAGCCATCTGGCGACCGTCAAAGTTTCCTCAAATCATCTCAAAAAGTGGAGAGGATATGTCCCCTCCGTTATAATTATTTTCTACAATTTCCTATTAAAAACATTGATTCCAAACTTTAGGACAGTGGTGTACATGAATGCACATGCGGTTGGCAAAGGCTGATGTATTACTTTATGTACCTATAAAGTAATAATATAAGAACACATGTGACTGTTTACTGTTTTAAAAAATTAAGGAAGTTTTTATGTCTTCCTTGAATTTTTACAGCTATCGATAGCATGCACACTACAAAATTGATGTCTTCAAAACAAGATCAAGGTCCACTGGAGACTAACACTGACATTGGGAATGTTAATAATCAACTTGACACATTTGTGCACATGCAGTGGGGAATTTGTGAAACACCTTGAGTATATCCTGAATAAAAGTAAAAAGGCTTCTTTATTTCGATTCAGACAGTAGAATTGGTGTAACTCTAGGCCGTGTGCTATGTCTCAACTGGTTTGGTCTGTGCCATTTACTGTAAGACTATTGATCTACTGTACAAGTGGTATGGTTAAAATCAAGTGGTTAAACAAACAGTTATTGTACTGTAAGCAGTAGCCCCCAATGCCTTTAGCTTTTGAAGTTTTTGGTGAATCAGAAGTGGAACACAAATTTCCCTGAAATGGTGACTGAAAAGGAATGATCCAGAATGTTACAGGAAGTATTTCACTTAAAGAGCCCATATCCTACATTTTATGACCAAAACAGTCATAATTAATTTTTATAAGATCATTTTCAAACCTCCCTTCATACCATAGCTGTTTTTGTTAATGGGCCTTCTACCATGATATATGTCGATACAACAGAACTGATTGGCTGCTCTGAATTGTACCTCATTCCAAAATTAGTCCAGGCTTAAACACTCCTTAACTTCAGTGTGAATATGAAGGGCTAAAGTGCTGTATGCTGAATAGGCAGATGTATGACATCATAAAAACAAAACAAAACAGGCTTCGTTTCTATATAAGGCCTATATGGACTGGTGAATGAATGGTAAATTTTTTAACTTCAGCAATGTTTACATATTATATCACACTTCTATTTCAAAAGAATGAGGAAAAATTGGTTTTCCATGATGTGGGCCCTTCAAATGCACATAGACGAGCCTGTTAGGCCTACAGTTCTTTGTACTCCAGAGTCAGTCACATGTAAACACATATGAGTTCTTCCACAGCCCTAAGCTGGAACCTGGTGAGCTGCTTTACTTCCAGAATCCAAGTCTGGAGGGCAAAAGAAAGGTTTCACTATCCCAGGTTCCTGATGCGTATGTATTTGTACCTTCTCCATTGTGCATCTTTCTCAGAGTTTCACAACAATGGCTTTTGTGTAAACTTCCTATTACGTATGTTACAACGAACAATCAGGAAGTAATTACATTTTTGTTAAGATGTGAACACACACATTTCTGAATCTGAATCAAAAAAATCTCTGAGAATCTACCTGGGTTTGTGTGGCTGTTATTTCCATTAAGAGGACAGACTGGCTAACAGGAGTACGAATGCTTTTCTGCGGAGGCACCAAATAATCAGTTGCAGATTAAGGAGTTAATCCTCTTCAGGATCTATGAGCCAGGCTCCTCATGATAGAACAAATTCCTTTTAGTGCCACAGCATAGATACAGACCTTGCTGTGATCCAGTACACAGGCATATACACAGACACACAAAGACAAACATGGGCACACACACACACACACACACACACACACACACACACACACACATACATACAAGAGGACCAAGTTGTTCCCTTTTGACATGTGTGGGCAACTTTACAGAGGAGGGAGGATTTAAGGGTGTCTATTTCGAACCTGGAGGATCAAATTAGACTGCTCAGGGATGGATGGATACATTGAGTAAAAAAGATACAAACCTTTTATTTAAACATACATAAAGGCAAGCAACAAATCAGATCGTTTTTCCTAATAATAATAATGTTTTTAATTTTATCCGCAACTTCAGCCATTAATGATACATGTAGCAAGAATCTAAGACCTGATTTTGTGGCCAATGAAATGAAAAATTATTTTCGTTAATTCATCAGTAGTAAAAGGCTGAGGGAACTTTTATTCCACCCGTAATCCGACAAACCCCGCCTCCTAAGCTACGTTTGGCTACTAATTCATACTCCCAAGCAGTCCGCCGACAATCGTGGGGCAGGAGGCTTGATCCTTCTAGCCAATCCTAGCGCAGGGGGCAGGGCGTCCGGAATACGGGCGGGAAAACAGAACAGAATAAAGCGGAGAGGCTTTGCTCTTTCGTCTCGCCCCGCCCCTCTTTGCTTAGTCCACGCGGGGGCGGATCGCTCGTATCTACATACCAAACAACGCCGCGCCTTTTTATCTCTGAGCCCAGCAAAGCAGCTCCGTTTTGGCCGCTCCGCTTTTTCTGCCCCCGCCAACTGCCGCCATGTTTTTGTGAGGCAGAATGACAGCAGAGAGAGCGCAGAGGAAGACGAACGTAGACTGTGAAAAACCCTACATATAACAGTGTTTTTTAATCGTTTGGATGCCCGGTTTTCTCAGTAACGACATTACGACGGAAGTCATTTTGTAGGATTAATTTGTCAAAAGCAAGGATTTCCTCAGAAAAGGTCAAGTCTTGGATGTTATAATACACTAATATTCTATTTTTCGTACGGCGTACGACACTTTTTTTTTTTAACATATCATTTCGTTCAGGATGGGACGGAATCCTCCCACGTAAAAACGAGAATTACATTTTTCCTATCTTTTTTTTCGTACGTTCTGTGCTACCATGAGAAGTAAACGAATTAGATGCGTATTTAAAGACGAACACGTTGCTATATACTTTTAAAACCTCCTTTGTGTTTACAACTTCGTACGAACGGCAGGAGTAACAAAATCAACACGAGTGTTTTTTTCTGTGGTAAAGTGGTTGGTTTCAGGTTATCCGTGGTGAACTGTCAAACAAGGAAGGAAGAAAAGTTTTTTTTACCTAAAGTGACTTTGCAAAGAAAGAGGACAAAAGATGACGGGCAGTATCCCAGCTGATATGGTAAGAATGTGTCGTATACTGTTATTCTGTATAGAACTGCAGGCTAAATTGAAACTTCAAGTGAACGCAGAGCTCTTCACTAGTAAGGATTACCAGAGTTTCCAGAGCTCGTTGGAAATTACTGAGAAATCTAGGGTTGGCGTCAGACCCTGATGATAAAGCTACAATGAACCTAATCTGAGCTGTTTACATGTAACCCTTCCAATTTTCCAGAGACCACCTCCACCAGAGATCCACAAGAGATCCACCACCTCCGTGAAAATCTTCTCTATCACAAAGTTAGAGTGTAGATATATGGCGTTATCACCGAGTTTATCTGATTGTTGGTTCCCACCTTAATATTGCCATACAGTGATTTAGCATATCTTATGTTTACACAGTGACTACATGACTTTCATGTTGAGATTAAGGTGTAGAAGTGTGATGAATTCTTTAATGATTAGAAACAGACCTTCAGACGTTCTCAGCCTTTTAGCATTTGCAGACTTCGAGAAGTATGATGGCATGCATACTTTGTCATACTGATTTATGGTCTAGTTGCTATATGTTGCAAGCATGTCATGAAAATAATAGAATGATAGTAATTAGCGGGTTAGGTTATGAGCCAGACATTTGTGGATGCTTAAAATAATATGCAGGCCTCAGGGCTAGAGTTCATAGATTGGTCTGGCTTTAGAGAAGGCAACTTGACCTGTCTGTCACTATTGAGAGACAGTGACAGTGTGAGCCTACAGAGATTTGCCTTGTGCTATAACTTCCAAGGCTGATGCAGGGTCATTGGCTGGCTGAAGTGGAAATTAACCCTTGCTTAGTCTATTTCTCACCAGACTTGACAGCCAGCGTAGAGCAAGTGCCAATAAACTGTCAAGTACTGTTGGTTTTTATGCATACAAATGCATTTTTTCCAGGCCCAGCCTGCATCTGACGTTATCTCCTTTGACTCAGAAAGGCCCTCTTATAGTGACCCTGTATTCTGGAGACCAGAATTAAGATCAGATCACCATGTAATGCCTTTTGCTTTTCAAGGTTGTTAGAAATTTCATGGTATGCTCTATAGTGCAATGTTAAGTCGTTGTGGCTATCATAATACAATAATCAGTGCTCTGAACATAAACCATTGTCACAGTGCATATTACAGTTTGTAATGTTGTGTTGGCTGTTTTTACATTTACATGGTGGAATCTTAGAGCATGGCTATTATACATATACCATATACCTATTATACATACCATATGGCTATTATACATATATGCTGTACCATGCTTATCTATTGGCTGTTTCTACATGTACATGGCTGAGTCTTAGGGCCTCACTATAACTTCCGGCCTGATTGTACAGCAGATGCTCTGAGGAAATGGTCAATAAGCTGTCAAATGTAAAATCGTCACAGCCCTAAAGATGTTTTCTAAGAGTTTTGTCGTCAGAGAGCACGTTTGACACGTTGACAGAACAATTATGTACCGTATTTTTAAGCATCTACCAGTACAATAGTGTGTGATGAGTAGGGTTATTCTAGAAAAGGTTGTTTTGTGTGCGTGTTCTAAGGTTTAAATGCCCATTTTAAACATCTTTATCTCAGCCATCTCATATTCAGTCCCTGAAACACCAGCTTGCACCAGTATTGAGGGGGGTTAAATTGGGGGTGGGACACTGCAACAATGGCAGTATTTGTGTGTCTGTGTGTGTGCTCATGCACATTTGTCTGTGTGTGGGCATTTGGCTGAATGGGTTGTATCTTTATGGAATGATCTCACTTTTCACCGAAAGAGTGAGAGCTGAAGAATGTAAATCAGTGATATTTGCAGATTCCCAAAGCTGAAAAGCCACGATAAGTCACTGTGACATGTAGACAGTTCTTGGCAGTTCTTTCAGTGTTGCGTATCGGTATAAGCATGACAGGACTGTGTCACTTTGTACCGTAGGTTTCAAAACTCACTCGCTGTACCCTTAGGGAACCCTCAGAGGAACACCCATTACATTGGAAATGTCACTTTAGCTGTTAAATGACCCCTTCCTTGCTGTGTTCAGATTTCCCATGTCTGACTGATGTGGGGGAGGAGGTCTTTGCTACTGCTATTTCCCCTGCATTGGTCAACACTTTGTTACATCCTGATCAGGATTCTGCTGATATAGGATAAGGTCTTGTTTGAGGTGTCTAAAAATATGACCTGTGATACATGATATGGTTTTCAGGATTCTAAGACTGGGACACACATCACAGGCCTCTCTTTAAAGTAACTGAATGGGAAATTCCACCATTTTTTCCCCAAATGTCCATATAATTCAATCACTGAGATCTAGATAAAGTCATTCAGAGTGGTTTGATGTGAAATGGTGCATTGTACAATGGTGGTGATAAGAAACAAGGGTTGTATATACAACCATTTTATTTACAGTATGTTTCTTCTGAGTTTTTATCATATGCTAATAATAGTAAAATAGTGGAAAATCTGGAAAAAGTTTTCTTTTGGTCATAGAGATCTACCACCCTGCAGAGTTTAGCTCCAACCCTAATCCAACACACTTGATCCAGGTAATAAAGGCCTTCAGGGACATCTGAATACAGAGCCGTGTTGTTGCAGTTTCGTTACTGCATACAATAAAATGCATTTATTTTCATTGTATTGTGATACAGTAATATCACAATAAAAATAAATACATACAAAATAAATACATAAAAGTCTTGATTGATACAATGAAAATGAGTACATAAAAGTCTTGATTGATTCAGGAAGACTAAGAGGATGTAGAGTGTGGCCTTTCTTTCCTGACAGAATGCTGTGTCATTGGAGCTTTGCATAGATTATTATCAGTATTTGGGCTGACTGAATTCAAGGGTAAGTGAGATGAGAGATCACAAAGGACAGGCTCATTCATGTAGTCAGGCTTGATTAGGTTATCCATAGAGGTTATGAACAAGCATCTGATGTGGATATCTACTTCTGAATGTGAGGCCATGCTAATATTAATTAGAGAGCTAGGGCATTCCTGACAGGGCTTCGGGTCTATAAGGGTTAACATGTCTACAGAGGGAGAGGAAGTGGCACAGACTTACTCAATAAAGAAGCCTTTCAGTGGAGTGGGGAACAATTTACAACAGTTCTATGAGAGAGGTGCCCCCATTTACTCATACTGCTGCTGGAGCTTTTCTGCTAGCTGTTTTTGATAGTTACCATTGTGTTTAACTTATAATGATCCATAATATTCATTCAGTATGAGTATATGTTTGAGCTGCAGAATTAATAATAATAGGCTATATTAATTTAAATGAAATTATGGCCTCTGCTGCTGATTTCCAAGTAGCAATAATTAATGTACTTTATTTAGCTAGTATTACATCACAGTTTAGTTATAACTGGCCCTACTGATCAAATTATTGTAGTCGTAAACTGTCTGAGACTGAGAAATTCATAAATTTGCCATCTATTATTGACGCTAACTGTACAGTAAGTCAGCTTGCTAATTTTGTTGACTTGAAAAGGGCTGTGCTTCTACAGAAGAGAGGTTTTTTGACGACACTTTGTTTTTCGAGGAAATCTGGTTTGAGTATATCTTAAGCCGCTTTCAGTATTTTCTGCAAGCTATTTTTATTGTTTTTTTGTTTTTTTTTTACGATTTTGCCAGCTCAGTTCATCCTTAAACATGACTGATGTTTTTTCATCGGAGTGAACGGTTGTGTGGTCTGTGGAAAAGGTGACTGCATGGTATTTGTCACACATATGAAAAGACTTAAAGAAAAAAAAACGGTTCTAGAGCTCTCGTCTGCTGCTGTATCACTCTGCGTCTCTCAGGGCCTAATGACATAACTACGCAAACATCCCTTTGTAGGCTTTTACTTGCGGAAGTCAAAGATTCAAATCTTAGTCCAGACTCCCTTTTCCTGGCCTCAATGGCTGCCATTGTGATTGTACAATTTTTCACTTCCCAAGAGATCTTGATTTGTATGGTACTATCTACAGTCTTAAAAAGTGTCAAATTGATTCACGTTTGTATTATTAAAGTGAGTCTGTCTTTCCCTCTTTTGTCGTATTTTTATTGTCATGACTTCAGAGTTTTGTTTTGGATGGCCTGGAGCTATGATGTTTCTTTTTGTGCATTACCATAACTAGGATGGTTAGTTATCATAATCAGCCTCTTACACATTTCAATTCATAGCATTATTTCACAGAAATGCCCATGTCAGCCTGAATATAAACATTTGATCACACTTTCATATACAACAGGGATGCCCTGCAGAGTTTAATTTAAACTCTTTTCTAACAAAACTGCTGCAACTAATCAGGGTTTTCAGGAGTGTCTGAACATCACAGCTTGGTGCATTACATTGTGAGTGGTAGAGATAATGGTAAAAGTAGCATACTAGTGGAAATCTGTGGGGTGGTGTGGCTTCAACCACACTGTTTAAAACATTATTGATTATTTCTAGTAGAGTGACTGGATTACAACTGTAGCTAGTGCTAGAAGGCAGACAAGTGGACCTCTGTTATTTCAAACATGTTCAAGTAGAGAATATATCTGACCATTTTGAAGAATTCTTTCAATACACAGTCTGGCCTCCACCTGTCAACTGCCCAAGACCAAATTGTGCTCATGGCATCCCATGCTCTCTAGCTGGTCCATTGCCTCTCCGAACTGAATTTGAATTCTCACTTGACTCACCTGTTCATGGAAGCTTTCTTATGATTTTTATAATTTAATTTTGCCTGTACCCATGTTTTATTGCCTTATTATTGCCTAGTTTTAAAAGAAATATATTTCACAATATATGTTTTATAATTATTTTTTTTTATGAAATGCGCTTTATAAATAAATGGGGTATGGAAGGATAGGTCGGCACCCCTCCCCCACTCTGCAGATGCCTGCCCTTCACATCAGCAGGCACGTGGGCAGCGCCTGCAGGGCGAGAGACTGCCTGCCTTCATCTAGCACACAGAGAGAGGATGAAGCACTATTCATCTCTCTTTCTCTTTTTTTCCTCCCTCCCATTTTCCTGTTTGCTT